ACTCCTGGGGCTCCTCCAGGCCTAGGCTCAGTTTGAGGACTAATCTCTAACTTCTGGGGCTCCTCCAGGCCTAGGCTCAGTTAGCGGACTAATCTTTAACTCCTGGGGCTCCTCCAGGCCTAGGCTTAGTTTGAGGACTAATCTCTTAACTCCTGGGGCTCCTCCAGGCCTAGGCTCAGTTAGCGGACTAATCTTTAACTCCTGGGGTTCCTCCAGGCCTAGGCTTAGGGCCAGATTTAAATCTTAATTGTCCCAAGCATTCAAATATTTTTGGTGCCCTCTCCCGCAATATAATTCAAAATACAGTTGTCTATTTGAGATAACATAAGCTTTACATGTATGCTAAAAATCAAATTGCTTCTTTCCGGATTTCTGAATGTAAAATTCAGGTATGCTAATTGAACCTCAAGTTTCACTGTTTTGCTGGTGCCCCAAACACCTGCTGAGTGTGTCTGTTAAGAAATCTAGCCCCGGCTCCTTACTCTGAGCAGCTGCTCTCTTCTTTCCTACAGGGGAGCTTCTTTCGACTCTTCTACCCCTGCCAAGAGGCAGAGGAGACCATGGAGCAACCTCTGTGGATTCCCCGCTATGAGTACTGCACTGGCCTGGCCGAGTACCTGAAGTTTAATAAGCGTTGGGGCGGCTTGCTGTTCAACCTGGCTGTGGGTAAGGGTTGGCCTGACCTCCGCATGCTTTCCCAGTTGTTTGGTTATGTTCCTGGGAGATCCCCAGGTGGACACAGTACCTTACAGCTTGCAGTGTCCAGCCTTTTGTAAGGGGTATCCATTAGCCAGTGAGGTGTGGAGAGTTGGGGGAGAATTACATATGTAAGAGCTTTGGTGATTGAGTTAGACTTTCCTGGATTCAAATCCAGAGTTTATAATTTACTAGCCATGGGTTTTGGGCTAGTTACTAAACCTGTCTGAATACCTGCCTTTGCGGGTTTGTAGTACAGGATGTATGTGAAGCCTTTAGTGCAGTGCTTGGGACATAGAATGTGTTCCATAAATGGCACTGATTGCTCATTTATTCAGCATGTTTTAATTCCCACTCTGTGCCAGCTATTGTGTGTATTAAAGAAAGGTTCTTAACTATCAAGAAGCATAGTCTCCTGCAGTTTTCCCTCCAGTCACCCCTCTTCTGAGTAGGGTAACACTGAGCCCTGTACTTCCCCCAAAGGCCTCACACCTAGGAATTCCACCCATTGCCTTGGCAACTCAGCAGTTTACCCTAGAGTTGTTCAGTACTGCCCCTTCGGACTTAGCTTTCCATTTTTTTTTTTTCTTGGATACAGAGTCTTGCTCTTGTCACCCAGGCTGGAGTGCAATGGCACGATCTCGGCTCACTGCAACCTCTACCTCCTGGGTTTAAGCAGTTCTGCCTCAGCCTCCCAAGTAGCTGGGATTCCAGGCGTCTGCCATCACGCCCAGCTAATTTTTGTATTTTTAGTAGAGTTGGGGTTTCACCATGTTTGCTAGGCTGGTCTCAAACTCCTGACCTCGTGATCCACCTCGTGATCCACCTCAGCCTCCCAAAGTGCTGGGAATACATGTGTGAGCCACCGTGCCCGGCCTAGCTTCCCATTTTCTATTGTACTCACTCTTCATAGGTAAGAAAGGGAGAAAAAAGTAGGTGATTGACTGCCCCAAGTTGTTCAGGGGCCCATAGTGGTTCTCCAGAAGGGAGAAACACGTGTCCCCACCCATACCTATATTTGGGCTGCCCTTGGGATAACAGCTTTGGGGCAGCCAGAGATTCTATAGCCCATGTCTCTGCTAGGATCTTGTCGCCTGCCTGTTAGCTGGAATGGCCCCTTTAAGACAAAGGACTCTGGATACCCCTTGATCATCTTCTCCCACGGCCTAGGAGCCTTCAGGTAAGAGCGTCTTTCCCCTGGACCTTGCCATACTTCTTGCCTGGTGACAGCTGCTGAGTCTTAGCTTATTCTCAAAGGGCAAAAAAAACAGACATTTCCATCTGCTAGCTCTCTTATCTCCCATCTGCTTCCTCCCGTAGCAATGGGTTCACCTTCTCCGGAAGGCTTTTTTCAAGTCCTTTTAACTTTGTGTAGCCTTTCAGCAGCCTTTGTATGCTTTACTTCTCATGATCCAGCATTTATGTAAATATACACTTTCAGCTTTCTTCCTGTGTAACAGCCCAGAAATGCTAGAAGGAGCATGAGCTTTGTGATCAGCGTGTCATTTATTTATTTATTTTAATTTAATTTTTTTCAGACAGGGTTTTGCTCTATTGCCCAGGCTGGAGTGCAGTGGTGTGATCACAGCTCACTGCAGCCTCAACCTCCTGGTCTCAATTGATCCTCCTGCCTCAGCCACCAAGTAGCTGGCATGTACCACCACACCTGGCTATTTTTTTGCAGAGATGAGGTCTCAGTGTATTGCCCACACTGATCTCAAATTCCTGAGCTCAAGCCATCCTCCCGCCTCAGCCTCCCAAAAGTGCTAAGATTATAGGTGTGAGCCATCGTGTCCCACCAAGAGTCATTTATTCAACATGAGGGTCCATTCTGCGTGTGGCACTGGCATAGTGGCAAATAAAATAGACTTGCTCCCTGTACTTGGGGAGCCAGCAGCCTAACCTGCAAATCTCAGCCATATCCCTTGTGCTCTGTGTGAGCCTGGGAAGGTTGTTTAATTCTCTGAACTTAGATTCCATCATCTGTCAAAGACGAATGCCGCTCTCACAGGGAGGTTTGTGAGGATTCCATTCAATTGACACCTACTAGGTGCACACCCACGTCAGTTCTCCTCTCCATGTTCTCTACATGGAGAGATATGGTGAGGTGAACTGTAAGATCTCCTTTACCAGACTTGGGAAACTTTGGCCTAAATTTCATTATTCATTTAGAATTCTTCCATGAATTCTGATTTATTCACCTTGGTGTGTTATATAAATAACAGTAGTACATGTGTTCCTATTTAAGCTTGTGAATGTTCTCTCTGGTCATCCATCAACATGTATGTCTAGTTTATGTCCCAGAAAGTTGCACATCTCAAAGGCATCTGTTTTTGCCTCCCAGCCCCCAAACCATTGTCCACACTGTAGCCAGAGAGATCTATTTTAAAACGAGATATGATCTTGTCATTCCAGCACCTGAAGCAGTACCCAGCATATAATGGGTACTCAGTAAGTATTTGTTGAGTGAATAAATGAATGTCTCTTCTTACTTGAAGTTTTTTTTTTG